TGCTTTTAAAAGAATAATACATACATACTTACCTCCACCTTCTTTGTGCTATTTTTAGTGCCAAGGTCACTGTCTTCTTCCCTTCTCCCCTACAGGTTTTTTACAAGGATATTCATACATTTTGTTCCTGATATCATTAAGGATTGACTTTGAAATAATTGGGACGTATCCCAAGTTCACCACAGCAAATCAGTGAAAATGCCAGGGGTGGGAAGGGTAAAGAGATTTATACAAACCAAAGGTGCTTGTGACATTATTTGTGTAGAAGAATGTTACAGCTCTAAACTTTAAAAATAATGAAAAGAAGTATTAATTAATATTGAGACTATTCGCTTAAACTGTGATAACCTCTTTTATGTTCCTCTTTCTCTTAGATCTGCAGTTTCAACCTTGCGTTGGACTTTTGGGTGGTGTCATGGGACTTTTCCTGGCAGGTGTCCTTTTACACCTCTTTCTAGTTAAAGAGCCCTGTCCTTGGGCCACTCCAACAGGCTGCACTCGAGTTTTTTCTCATGTTGTGCTGTTTAGTTGATACTTTCTGTTGGCATTAAGACTCTCCATTAAGCCACTGTTTTTCATGGGCAGAATTCAAAAATAATTTTTTTTATTCTGCTCTAAGAAGTATTGTAAGATTTGAGTCAAATCTTAGGGTCATGATTTATACTGTAAGAGTTAGTCAGTCTTTTTTTTTTTTTTTTTCTTTATCCTCACCCAAGGACATTTTTCCATTTTTTGTTCAGATATAGTGGGAAGGGAGAGAGAAAGAGAGAAACATCGACGTGAAAGGGACACATCGGAGTTACTCAGTCTTGAATACCAAGCACAGAATTGTAATATACCAACAGTGTTAGTCTTGGTTAGTTTTTCATATTTGTCTCACATTCATGGATAACTAAAAAGTCAAGTACAGGTTCTATTCTGTTATACCTTTTTTTTTTTCTTTCAATATTAGCAGTGCTGCCTGACCAGTGTGGTTCGATTGGAGCATCATCTCCTACACCTAAAGGGCATGGGTTCAATTTCTGGTCAGGTCACATACCCAGGTTGCAGGTTCAGTTCCCAGTCAGGGCACTTATGAGAAGCAACCAATCAATGTTTCTCTTTCTCTCTAAAATAAACAAATATTAATAATGCTAACTTATAAAGACTTTATTTGTATTTATAAAAATAACTCCTTTATACTGTTAAAACATCAGAATACATAAAGGCCTAAAGCATATTCTTTTACCACTGATTTTTATTCCCCAGTGGTTTAGTCCTATTAACACAACAGAAAGTAAAGATGTTTTCATTATACTCACCATTAAGAAGCTAAACTTAAGTTGCATTCAGAACACATCTGACAGGGCTATGGGATGCAATGTTTATAATGTTTTGCTCAAATTGATTGTTATGATAGATTTTTTTAAAACAGTGAAAGTGTAAAAATAGCCAAATAAGATTTTTTTTTTTTATCCTCACCCGAGGACATTTTTGGATATTTTGTTCAGATAAAGTGGGAGGGAGAGAGAGAGAGAGAGAGAAACATCGATGTGAAAGGGACACACTGAGTGGCTGCCACCCGCACAACCCCATCCGGGGCCAGGGACAAACTGCAACTGAGGTACGTGCCCTTAGCGGGAACCGAACCCGGGTCTCTCGGGACCGCAGGCTGAAGCTCTAACCGCTGAGCCAAACCGGCCAGGGCACCAAATAAGATTTTTAAAAGTAAAGAGCATTCATAAAATTATAATTACAAACTTTTTAATAAACTATAAATAAAAATAGTACAGTAGTATCTTCAGTGTCTGCAACCGGGAAGAATTGGCATAATTGCTACACATTTGATATTTTCTTGCCTTTTAGAGGAATTTTAGATATAAGTTTTATGGGGGAAAAGAATTTCAATCTACTCTTCCTTCTTAATTATAATGGATTTGTTTGAGTGTTTTGGTAACAATGGAGTCTTCTTTCTGAATGTTGGTTACTGTCCTGTGTTTAAGAGTAGCCAATGCTCTCAGGGCCTTTTGGTGTATCTAAGACTTTGATGCCACCTGGAATGACCCCAGTGTTGTCTTGCATTCCGATGCCCTTGTGTTAGAGTAGCGGTTCTCAACCGGTGGGTCGTGATCCCTGTGAGGGTCAAACGACCCTTTCACAGGGGTCGCCTGAGACCATTGGAAAACACATATTTCCGATGGTCTTAGGAACCGAGACCCCGCTCCTCTATCCATCTCCAGGGGGGTCCGCCCACATGCAGATACACCCACATACAACATGAGGAACTGTATTAAAGGGTCACGGCATTAGGAAGGTTGAGAACCACTGTGTTAGAGTATATTGTACAGTCATGCCTGTGCTGTGCCATGCATCAGCGTGGTGGCCGTGGGCAAGGCATTTGGGCTCTCATTGTGTGTGTGCTCCTCTCTACGTTGTACATCAGTGTCTGCCTGGCACTGTCCTTACAGGGTTCATGGGATGTGCTTAGAAGGCTCACCTGCCACTTCTTAGAAGCCACAGTGAGAGTGTCAGGGGTGCCAGGGTGGCCCTTAGGGGTAAATACAGGCAGTGCCAAGAACATGAGAATGCCGGAAGGTTCCAAATGTACAAGCTGCAACTGCAAATGAGCTCATAAGGTGATCCTGCAAACTGGAGGGTGAACAGAGGGTGTAGAAGAGGGTGACGATTGAAATCAGGCATGGAGTCCATTCAGAAAATGAAAGCTTTTCATTGAAAAAGGCTGGATGTTTGACATTGAAAAGACCCAAACATTATAATGACGTTGCTCTTTTTAAATGGTTGCACAGTCACTGAGTAATTACAGTGTTTATGAATCAAATTTTGGTTCCCTTGGCCTCCTAAGTATCCTGTAGGCCCCAATGCCCTCACCCTGCTGCACACAATACAGGAACTAGGGGAACCACAGTTCCATACAAAGTGGATTGATTCAGGTTTGGGCATTAGGGGACAGAGAGCTGGAAAACATCATCACCTGGCTCCTGCCCTCTGTGCATGTTTAGTTGGGGAAGGGAGTGCTAAGTGGCCAGCTCAGAGTAATATATCTGCTCTAACTCTGAATGGAGTAGAGGCCTGCGGAGGAACTCTGAACAGAAGATGGACAGTTAGGAGTGGAAAAGAGGAGCCGGAGGACTCGGTGGGACGAGGTGGTGAGCCAAGCAGATGAAAGCCCTGCAGGCAGGCTAGTGTGGGGTAGTGGTCTCAGCAGCTTTGGTCTCAGGAACTCTTCACACTCAGAAAAATCATGTAGGACTCGAAAGAGCTTTTGTGATGTGGCTTTAGTTACCAATATTGACCACATTTGAAATCAAACCACAAAAAAAAGTTTAAGCATTATTTATTAATTCATTAGTGAAATGACAAACCTATTACATGTTAACAGAAATAACATACTGTTATGAAAATAGCCATGTTTTATAAAACAAAAACAAACTTGGTAAGAGCTGATTTGCATTTTTGCAAATCTTTAATGTCTAGCATCGTAGGAGATGGCTGGGCTCTCCTGGGTGCCTCTGAGTTCCGGCTGCCTCCCTGTTTAGGTTGAAGTATAGGAAGATGTGACTGCGAAGAGGAGGAGCATTTTAATAGCCTGGTCAGATCATTGTGGACGTTTTCTTTGATATTACACCAGAACTTAACAGTGAGTAGTTTCTTGAAGGAATCTGAAATGTGGAATCTGAAATCATATCAATAAACAGTCTGTACATTTTATTACATTAAAATCCAGAGGACTGTCTTGCACTTTGAGTGACTCTTTTGTCCTCGAATGATATTGAAACACTATTTATTGATCCCTTGGAAAATACTGTGACTGAGTTACACAAACCTTCTAAGACAGTTTCAAATCGTGGACAGATTTAAGTATCTGTATCAATAAATCCCGTTGTTAGTATCATCTGGTCTCATCCTCAACCTGGAGAAGCTGTCAAGCTCATCCTATCGGAAATTTTCCAGGTTTCTGGGAAGTCGTAGAGCTCCATTACTTCTAGCCCTACACTGACCCACCAGACCTATTTCTTAATCTTGTATCATCATAAAGGTTACATGAAAATAATGTGTCAATATGCGTAAAGCTTTTGGGATGGTGCCTGGCCCAGGTAAGCACTCAGTACGAAGTAGTGATTGTTATCTGTGCTTTTCGTTGTTGCTGTCATCCTGGGTGATATATGTTGCCCGTAGCCCAGAAGGGAATGAAAGATGCTTTGTGGAGCAGCAGGGTAGGCGCCTGCTGGATTTGTGTAACAGTTCATTTGGGCAAGCTTCAGACTTCCCCTGAAAGGTTACAGACTTCCCCTGTAAGGTTCTTACTCAGCCTGCACCTGCGATCTCAGTTGTCACGTTGGTGTGGGTGTCGATGCCCCTCACCAGGTCTTCATTTGCCTCGTGTTCCATGTTCACATATGCCACATGTGGTAACTGGCACTCATATAATATTTGAATGAATGCACTTAGAGAGATTTCGTTTTGAACAGCTCTCAGCATGGTTTTAGACTTCAGTATAGAAACTTGAACATATGAAGCATATGATCTGAGCAGTGGCTAGTGTTTTATCCTTTTCATTTATTTAAGGAATGTTAACTTCTTCTATTCATCCCTATCCCATCTCTTTTTTTTCTTGAATATCTGTTCATTCAAACTAAAAATAGTAGAAGGCTTAAAGTGTTTCACAATGCCCTGGCCGGTTTGGCTCAGCGGTTAGAGCGTCGACCTGCGGTCCTGAGAGACCCGGTTTCGGTTCCCGCTAAGGGCGCGTACCTCGGTTGCAGTTTGTCCCCGGCCCTGGTCGGTCGTGCGGTGGCAGCCACTCGATGTGTTCTTTCACATCGATGTTTCTCTCTCTCTCTCTCTGTTCCTCTCTCTCCCTCCCACTCTACCTGAACAAAAAAATGAGAAAATGTCCTCGGGTGAGAATAAAAAAAATAAATAAATAAAAATAAAGTGTTTCACAGTAATTTGGGGTTAAGCATTTTTTCAATCAATATACTTTGCTTTCTGCTTTTCAGATGTTCCTCCTGCTGATCAAGAGAAGCTTTTCATCCAGAAGTTACGTCAGTGTTGTGTCCTCTTTGACTTTGTTTCCGATCCACTAAGTGACCTAAAGTGGAAGGAAGTAAAACGAGCTGCTTTAAGTGAGATGGTGGAATATATCACCCATAATCGGAATGTGATCACAGAGCCTATCTACCCAGAAGTAGTCCATATGGTAAGTGACTGCAGCTTAACCAGCCTGTCCCAACCCTGAGCTACAGCCAAGACTCTGACATCTTAGAATAAGCTGAGACGTTTGAGCCAAACACAACACTTCCAACAAAAACATCCTCCTGTTCCAGAGTTTGTATTTGTGCCTTGAAGAATGAAAATCTCTGTGATGTGTCCTGGAGCATAGTGTTAACAACAGTGAGGGGAATTGATCGGGTGTCTTCTAGGGACCAGTTCAAGAGTTAGTTCATTTAATTCTCATAATTACCAAAGGGGGTAGAAATGTTAGAACTTTTTTTTTTAATCCTCACCTGAGGATATTTTTCTTTTTATCTTCAGACAGAGTGGGAGGGGGAGAGGGGGGGGGAAAGGGAGGGAGAGAGAAACATCAACGCGAGAGGGACACTTCGACTGGTTGCCTCCTGCACAACCCTGACCAGGGTCAGGGACGAACCACAACCGAGGTACATGCCCTTGGCCAGAATCAAACCTGCGACTCATTGGTCTACGGGCTGATGCTTTACTGCTGAGCCAAACCGAACAGGGTGAAATGTTAGAACTTTTATTTGTACTTATTATCTTATACTCTTTACGTTTGTTTTTCTTTTTAGTTTATATAACCTTACCATAATAATGCCCATACATAATATAGAAGTAAACATGTTCTCCATACATGTACAGGAAAATTCTAATAGTGGGTACAGTCCAGGTGGTGGTGGGACCCAGGTGGTATCAGGACAGTCCATCCTGATTGGCTAAGCCCGCCTCCATCTGTCAGTGCTGCGTGAAAACACACACAACGCCCTGGCCAGTTTTGCTCAGTGGTTAGAGCGTCGGCCTGCGGTCCAGAGAGTCCCAGGTTCAGTTCCCACTAAGGGCATGTATCTCGGTTGCACTTTGTCCCTGGCCCTAGTTGGGTTGTGCAGGAGGCAGCCACTCGATGTATCCCTTTTACATCAATGTTTCTCTCTCTTCTTCTCTCTCCCTCCCACTCTATGTGAACAAAAAATGAAAAAATGTCCTCGGGTGAGGATAAAAAAGAAAACACATCCAATTCTGCCCTGCAGTTAGCTCATGGCTGGTTTCATTCAGCCCCCAAACCTCAGTCCTCTGCTGTCTCCTACTTTACAACCTGTTTTCAGGTCCTTTGCAGGGACTCACTGTGACCTTAGTGGGTACCACCTGGAAACATTTTACATGATGCCTATAGTTACTAAAACTCCTACTGTTTGGCACTGAACTCCAGTTTTCCATTGTTTTTTGGAATTGTCTATATTTTATCTGCCTTTAAAATTAATACTCCCCAGTTACTAGGGAGTCTTTGTTGCTTAATACAAAATTTTAAATTCTTACTTTCATTGTACTCCTTACATTCAGTGATCTCCGCCCCCCCAAAGCTATATATTTCAGAATTGACTAGACTTGTTGACCTAAAATATGTTTATTTCTCACATTGGTATGTTTGCTTTGGAAAAGAAGATGTAAGTAATGTTCTTTTTATAATTCACAATCTGTTACGTCAGGAGTTGAGATCAACTTGATTATTTTATTTTATTTTATTTATTTATTTATTTATTTGGTACGTGCCCCTAGCGGGAACCAAACACGGAACTCTCTGGTCCACAGGCCGACGCTCCAACCGCTGAGCCAAACTGGCCAGGGCCAACTTGATTATTTTAATATATTTTATTGTTAACTCTTGACGTTTTGAATTTGCCAGTTTATAGTCAGACTGGGACTGCAAAGGTAGTGTCGGTTTCTTCCCCAAACTCACACCTGAGGAATAGTCAGAGGCGCATATACTGAATGGTGAATACTCTGAAACCTTACTCACTTAGACTAAGAAATAGGGAACTCTCTTTTTTCTCTTCTTAATTTCAGCTCTCAATTACTTTGAAGGGCCTCCTAAACCCCAGAATCACAAAGAAAAATCTCTGATATTTTCTCCTCATACTTTCATATTTTTTTGTTCACAGTACAGTTTATAATCCTCCTGGAATTTTTTTAATGCTACAGGGTAGGGATAAAACTTTATCATCTTCTAAAATGATTGAAGAATCATTCGTCCCTAGACCATGTATTGAATATTCCATTTTCCCCATTGATTTTAAGTGCTTTTTTTATTATATATTAAATTTATTCTATTTTAAAGTACATGTATTAATATATTACATATTAAATCTATAAACACATACATTTATCCTGTGTTAATTTACATGTATGGAAGGTTTTTCTGTTTTTAAGGAGCTTTGGCTGCCAGCATTCCCTGAGTCCCACTCTTAACCCAAGAGGGCAGAGTCTGCAGAGAACACATGAGTTGGCCTGGTCAGGGTCAGGTGCCTGCCCTTGATCCAGGTGTGGGCTGCCTGCGAATCGAGGTCTCTCGCATTTCGCAGGGCAATGCACATTAGCAGAACCGCTTAGTGGGTTAATTAGCCCTGAAGACTACTTTAAAAAAAATTTATTATTTTTTTTTTATCCTCATCCGAGGACACCTTTCCTTTTTTTGTTCAGGTAGAGTGGGAGGGAGGGAGAGGAAGAGAGAGAAAGAAACATCGACATGAAAGGGACGCATCGAGTAGCTGCCACACGACCAACCAGGGCCGGGGACAAACTGCAACCAAGGCACGCGCCCCTAGCAGGAACCGAACCCAGGTCTCTCGGGACTGCAGGCCGATGCTCTAACTGCTGAGCCAAACCAGCCAGGGCTTAAAATTTTTTTAAATAATTTTCTACCACTAATTTCTTATTCCTATCCCCCCAAGACATTTTCTAGATTAGATAATCAGTATTTCTCCTCACCCTGTTAAAATTGCATCCTAACTAGCTTCCCTTCCTGCTGTCTTAACTGTGCCCCGACCTAGAATCCATGCCAGTCTTCCGTGTTGGACAGTTTGCCCTCTAAAGCACTGAGCAGACACTTCCTGAGCACCCACCGTGGGCCAGGCACCTTGTTAGGTGAGGAAATCAGTGGGCCAGATTTCTGCCTGCCCGGCTTGCCTCTGCTCGGAGGGCAGGCCTAAAGAGTGCTGGCCAGCAGTGCACCACTTAGGTTACAGTGGCCCTGTAAAGGAAAGTAACTCGGGAAGGGGACACACCTGCAAGACTGCCGTGTACCATGTGCCATGTGGTGGGAGCGGGGTGCAGAGCGAAACCTTGCACGGGATGGATGGGATTGTCCCATGAAGATACTGGCTCGTAAGGTGCTTTTCTGTGTCACTGGGAGAACGGGGACAATTTGTTCTTCCCTCCCTGCTCTGACTGAAGGGAGTGAAGGGGAGAGCATGGCCTTTCCCTTTGGGGAGCTTTGGGATGGAATGAAGGGCGGGGGGCAGGTAGGATTCGGGTTTTACTGGTAGTGTTGTTTGCTGTGTGGATAAAGGGCAGGGATGAGAGAAGAGAGTAGGGTGGGATTGTACTGGCGGTGGTTCTGATCCTCTCAGGAGAGAGCGGCTGCAGGATTTGAGCATCCATCAGAAGGCCTCTGCCCAGCCACTGCACCAGCGTGGCAGGCAGAAAAGATAGGGCCCTGTTGCTCCCACTCGCCCCGTGTGTTGGCCACTGAAGCAGCACCTGGCAGGCTTGCTTGAAGGATTGCTTCTGTGTGTGTGTGTTGTCATAGTGTTTTTAGCTATTAATTTCCACTTTGAAAAATCCAAAGCTCTAAGATATTAAAATCCTTATGCTTGCTTCTTATAAATATATTGCCTATTAGACTGGATTGCTATATGGTTTTAAAAAATACTTTATTGATAGAGAATTCACATCCCATACAATTCAATGGGGAAGGCAGAAGGGGGTGGGAGTGGGGAGGAGAGAGGGGGTCAATGGGGAAGAAAGTGGGGGACATCTGTAATATATTCAACAATAAAGATTTAAGAAATAAAATAGCCCAGCCAGTGTGGTTGTGGTTTGAGCATCGTTCCATGTACTGAGAGATTGATTCCTGGTCAGGGTACATGCCCGGGTTCCAGGCTCAATCCCCAGTAGGGGCTGTGCATGAGGCTGCCGATCGTTGTTCTTTCTCACATCGATGTTTCTAGCTCTCTCTCCCTTTCTCTCTCTAAAAATCAATAAAAAACCATATTTAAAAACAAATAAAATGTACAGTTCAGTTACTTTTAATATATTCACAGGTTATGCAGCCATTGTCGCACCTAATTTGATACCATTTTCATTCCCCTAAAAGAAATCCCATACCCATTAATGTCACTGACATTTCTCCTTAACCTGTACCCCCAGCCCCTGGCAACCACTCATCTCCTTTGTGTCTGTGGATCTGCCTAACCTGGACATTTCATGTAAGTGGAATCACACAGTATGTGGCCTTCTTTCACTTAGCATAACGTTTTCACGGTTTATCCATGTTGTAGCTTGTGTCAGAACGTCTTTCTAATGCTAAGTAATATTCCATTGAATGGATATATACCACATTTGATTTATCCATTTATCTGTTGATAGTGGGTATTTCTGCTACTTGGCAATTGTGAATAATTAGTCTACAAACTTTTGTGTGCGGAGGTGTTTTCATTTCTCTTGAGTATTTACCTAGGAGTGGAACTGCTGGGTCACATGTTAATAATCTGTGTGCTTAACTTTTTGAAGAACTTCCAGATAGTTTTCCAAAGTGCCTGCACCTTTTCACATTCCCACCAGCAGTGTATGAGGGTTCCAGTGTCTATCCTCTCCAATACTTGTCATTGTCTTTTTTATGACAGCCGTCCTAGTGGGTGTGAGGTGGTGTCTAACTGGTTTTGATTTGCATTTCTCTCATCGCTGTGTATTTTTATACATTACAGACTTCAGTCCTAAATATTAACAGAACCTTACAGATCATCTGGCCTATTCCTCTCTTTTTCCAAATTTTAAAAATTTAGGTTCAGGGAGATGAGGATGAAAAAAAGCAGTACCCAGGGGAAAAAACTCCTGGCATCTGGATTCTCAGGCCTAAATTACATCAACTCCATTATCTCTTAATTCCAGTCATTTAAAAAATATAACCTG